AATTTTTAATCAAATTTTGTTTTACATGCTGTCTTCTATGAATTTTTGGCATGCTCGTCTGTGTCATATTAATAGCCGATATGTGGGAGTCATGAGTAGTTTAGGATTAATTCCCAGACTAACAAATAAGTTTGAGAAATGTGAAGTTTGCAGTCAAGCAAAAATAACTAAAAGGCCTTATAAAAGTGTGGTGAGAAATACTGAATTGTTAGAATTAATTCACACTGATTTATGTGAATTTGAAGGAATTTTAACACGTGGTGAAAATATATATTTTATCACTTTTATTGATGATTTTTCAAAATACACTTATGTATACTTGTTGAAAAATAAAAGTGATGCTTTTGAAAAATTTAAAGAATTCCTTCTTGAAGTTGAAAATCAATTCGGTAAAAAGATTAAAAGATATAGGAGTGATAGAGGTCGGGAGTATAAATCTTTTGAATTCAACTCGTTTGCTCAGTCTTTGGGAATAATCCATGAAACTACTCCACCATATTCACCTGCATCGAATGGTGTAGCAGAAAAGAAAAATAGAACTTTAACTGATTTAACAAATGCTATGCTAATTGAAGCAGGTGCTCCCTCAAATTTGTGGGGAGAAGCAATTTTAATAGCATGTTATGTTATGAATAGAGTGCCACATAAAAAAAATAAAAGTTACACCTTTTGAGTTGTGGAAAGGGCATAAGCCAAATTTGAGATATTTGAAGGTTTGGGATTGTCTAGCTTTTGTTAGACTTGTAGACCCTAAAAGATCTAAATTAGGTGTGAAAGCTGCCACTTGTGCTTTTCTTGGATATGCAACAAATAGTACATCCTATAGATTTTTTGATATTGAAAACAAAATAATTTTTGAATCAGGTAATGCAATTTTTCATGAAGAAAAATTTCCTTTTAAATCTAAAAATGGTGGGGGTCAAGATTATCAAGAAAATATTTTATCTGAAACTGGTTCCTCTATTCCTCTTTTACAAAACCAAGATCCTATAGGTTTTGAACCTAGAAGGAGTAAAAGAGCCAGAATAGAAAAAGATTTTGGCCCTGATTATCATGTTTTTAATATAGAGGAAACTCCATTAACTTTACAAGAAGCTTTGGCATCTCCTGACTCTGTTTTTTGGAACGAGGCTATAAATGATGAGATGAAATCATTATTATCCAATAAAACTTGGGCATTAGTAGATTTACCACCATGTTGTAAAACTATTGGCTGTAAATGGGTTTTGAGAAAAAAACTTAAATCGGATGGAACTATTGATAAATATAAAGCAAGGCTTGTTACAAAAGGTTTTAAACAACAAGCAGATCTTGACTTTTTCGATACATTTTTCCCGGTTACTAGAGTTACATCCATTAGATTATTAATTGCAGTGACTGTAATTCATGATCTAAAAATTCATCAAATGGATGTTAAAACAGCCTTTTTAAATGGAGACCTGCGTAAAGAAATCTATATGGATCAATCTGAGGGTTTTGTGGAACCCGGTCAAGAAAGCAAAGTGTGCAAGCTAGTTAAATCCTTATATGGCTTAAAACAGGCCCCTAAACAGTGGCATAAGAAATTTGATTCCTGCATGATTGAGAATGGCTATAAAACGAATGAATGTGATAAATGCATTTACTATAAATCTGAAGAAAATTCACATGTCATTATTAGCCTCTATGTGGATGATTTACTTATATTTGGCTCTAATTTGCATATCATCGTGGAAACTAAAAATATGCTTAGTAGCCATTTTGATATGAAAGATCTTGGTGAGACTAATTATATTTTGGGAATGAAAATTACCAAAAGCTGTGATGGTATATTTCTTGATCAGTCGCATTATGTCGAGAAAATTTTGAGAAAAGAAAATTTTTATAACTGCAAGCATGTTCTTACTTCTTTTGATCCTCATGTGTGTTTATTTCCTATTGAAAATGATGAGGATGTAATTAATCAAAAGGAATATGCTAGTATGATTGATAGCTTGCGTTATGCGACTGACTGTACTAGACCTGACATTGCATATGCAGTTGGAGTACTTAGCAGGTTTACGAGCAAGCCTGACAGTGATCACTGGCTAGCTATTGAGCGTATTATGAAATATTTATCTGGTACCATAAAATATGGCTTGTTTTATAATAAGTATCCTGCAGTACTTTAAGGTTACAGTGATGCCGATTAGAATACCTTGTCAGGTGATTCATTATCAACCACTGGTTACTTATTTACATTGGGAGGTAGTGCTATAAGTTGGAAATCGAAAAAACAAACTATTATTACTAATTCAACAATAGAGGCTGAGCTTATTGCTTTAGCTACAGCTAGTGAAGAAGCAAATTGGTTAAGAGATTTGTTAAATGAAATCTCTTGTTGGGAAAAACCGATTCCACATATATTGATTCATTGTGATAGCACCGCAGCAATTGGTCGAGTTAATAACCATTATTATAACGGTAAATCCAGACCTATCAGAAGAAAACACAATACTGTGAGATCTTATATGAATAATGGCATCATAAATGTGGATTATATTAAATCTGGTGATGATCTTGCAGATCCATTAACTAAGGCCTTAGCAAGAGATAGAGTCTGGAATACATCGAGGGGGATGGGGTTGAAGCCCATTGAATATAGCAGGAGCCATGTATGAGGATACTCAACCTAGGGACCAGAGATCCTGTAACTAGGTTCAATGAGAAAAACGATCATATGATGGCCGTGAGAAATGCACTAAATTACTTTTTACCCATCCCTGTGATGTAAGTGCATTTATCCTGTAACGTTGTAGAGGTTGAGTTATTAAAAAAACTCTTAATGAATTTCTGTAGCTTTTATTGAGTGGGGTGTCATAGTTACAGGAGCACCCTTAACAGAATTCACCTATGTGAGTGTGGTAGTGAGGCCGCTACCTATGAGATTTGGGCTAATTCTCAAACACACTCATGAATCCTGGGATCGCACAAGGCCGTAATGTGCTAGCTTTTAAAGCTTTTGTGAACACCTGGAATATTATGTGTGTGCAAGAATTATTTATTTCCCTTAAGTAGTCATAATTTAATGCTGAGCATACTATTGGCTCTGGAGTAGATATTATTGTTTCACTAATGGAGGTTCAATGCAGAGCATACCTACCATGATGCATAATATCCTTATTTGCCTAATAATCTCAATTTTTGTTACCTATAATATTAAAATAGGTGGGGGAATGTTAGCAGATATTTTAATATTATAATGTGTCATAGGTTGTTTTTCTTTTCTTTTCTACCTAGTTTGCTTTCCATTCTAGTCTCCAAGACTTCCTAAACAAGTCTTCCTAGTCTCCTCATTCCTACCCATCCAAATCTTCCAAGATAAGGTTTGCCAAGACTTATCCATTCAAGTCTTCTCCTAATCTTTATCCATTCCAAGTCTTCCTAGATAAGCTTCTAAGGTCTTGGTCAAGTCTCTTGTTATCTTATCCACCAAGAACCTTGCCTATTAAGTTTCCTTTCTATATATATTGAGCTTATCTCCTATCTTGAAATATACGAGAGAAGAAGTTTTGGTTGTGTTGTTATGTCTTGAGTGAGATTATCAGGCAAATAAAAAGGGTGTATGTGATAAAACTTTGGGTTCAACCAATTATGCAGTATTGATGAACCATACGACTTAATCGGGCTGTTGTATCCTAGAGGGGACAAGTCAAGGTTTTTTCTGCTGCACTGGTGTGAGGTTTTACCTAACCGAAGAGGGCTTGAATCTCTTTAAAGAGAGTGAATTTCCCGCGCCTCAACCCTTATATTAGTTATTGTAACTTTTATTTTTTGTATTCTCTGGTGTGTTATCTGTAATTATCACCAACACCAAGGTCATATTGTTAATTGTGTTTGTTATTTGGGACAGATTCTCCACTACATGATCAAAGGCAGCCTTATTCGTGTGAAGCCAAATACCCCATGACATCTTTACTGATTCCAGGATTGCCTCCTCATCTGGTGCATCCTTAAACCATTGTTCTACCCATTCATGTACCGGCATCCTTTGTCCTAAATCAAAGTTCAAACCTAGCCTGGAGCCCCTCCAGATGTGTTTAGAAAAAGGGCATTGAAAACAGAGATGTTATAAGGACGACTCATCCTCCAGACATCTTGGGCATTTAAATTTGTTGATTCAATGGGCATCACAACATGGTTGATTCACACACAGCACCCAAGAGTATGAAGAAAAAGAGAGATTATCTCAAAATTTTATTAAGAAAAATGTTTGATTCTTCTAGAATTTTTATACAAAATCATTCATCAAAATGATGTAGCAGTAGTATTTTGTATATTATATAGCAACTTGATAATTTCTTTGTTTTAAAGTGATAGATTTACAACTTTATCACATCATTCAATATATATTTTTAAAATACGTGGGTAAAACAATTGATTTTAAACAAAATTTGATAGGATTAATACCAAATCATTAATTTTGTAGATATCATTGAGAGTTTCTCAAAAAAGTATATTTTGACTTTATCTTTGAGTTTAGAGGCGACATAGTTGATAGACTCATTGGGATTTTTCGATAATCTCATATCATTATGTAAATTTTTCGACAACCTTAAACCATCGTTTACTTTTCTATTATGCCTATTGCATCACATTCCCACAACAACATTACACCCAAAATTCAAATTAAAACTTCAACATTTCAAAATTACTTTAATTAATTGAGCTTTTCCACCAAGGGAACTTTATCCACAAGGCTGTCCCTGGAACAAAGCAAAATGAAGATCATTCAATCTTATCCAAAAAAAAACTTCAATCACTTCAGCACCATCAATACCCCCCACTAACTCAGCTGTTTTTCCCCCATTGCTAAGCAAACCGCTAGCTGCTTCACCACCATCAACACCCCTTGCTCTCTCCCTCTCTCTCTCTCTCTCTGTCAGCACCATATTAATGTTCTCTTGCCACCTTAAAACACACCCTCTTACCTAAACTTCATTCTCACCCTCTATCTCACCCTACTCCATAAAAACCCAATTCTCTCACACCACAAACCCACATCACTCTTCTTCATTTTCACTTGATCAAGCCACTCTCAAAGCTCCACAAAAATGCTTAACCAGCTTCTCTCACCACCACTACCTCTCCTCCTACTTCTCATCACCTTCTTCTCCCTCCATTCCCCCACACTCTGTGCTCAGCCTCCAGCTGCCACACCAGCCCCATCACCACCACCACCACCACCAGGCCCTCCCAACATCACCGCCATCCTCGACAAAGCCGGCCACTTCACAACCCTAATCCGACTCCTGAAGCGCACCCAAATGGACGATCGGATTTACAAACAACTCAACCATTCCGACTCCCTCACCATATTTGCACCCACGGATGATGCCTTTTCGAACCTCAAAGCAATAAATCTAAACTCATTCACCGATCTTCAACAAATTCAGCTCATACAGTTCCATGTAGTCCCTTCTGCCATTCCCTTATCAGAGTTCGAAATGGTGAGTAATCCACTTAGCACTGAGGCCGGTGACAATACTGGAAGTCAGTTCCCTCTGAATGTGACGACGTCAGAGAATCAGGTGAATGTGACAACAGGGGTCGTCAACACAACGGTGTCTGGCACTGTGTATGCTGATAACCAGCTGGTGGTGTATCAGGTGGATCAAGTCTTGCTTCCGTTGCATTTTTTCCCAGCTGCGTCACCAGCTCCATCACCAGCCTCCAAAGCGGAGAAGGAGGTTCCGACTGGGCCCAAAATTTCGGGTGCGAATGCAATGGGTGAGATGATTCATCATGGACGCGATGCAGTGGTTTTTGTAGTTTCTGTTTTCATTGCTGTGTTTTGTTTGTGTGTTTGAATTGAGTTGAGAGAGATGGTCGGTGTTCATTGGATTTTGGTGTGGCAGTGCTGTTATGTTTTCTCTTGAACCAAATGGTTGTTGCAACTAAACTCTCTGCCTAAAATTATAGGCAGAATAAGAGCAATTGGATTCGTGGAAGCTACACTGGTGGACATGCTTCTCTTTATTTTGCATAGAAAAAAATGATATGCCTACGGAATTTTAAAATAGAATTCATGACAGCAATGATTTGACAGTAATGTTTGAAAAAATATTTCATTGATGAATTTATAATAAAAATGACACTACCATATTATTCTGGTACAGAATTCTGTGTAAAAACTATGATGAAATAGTATTTTCCTTGTTTGAAATGAAATAAATCCAATTGTCTCAACAAGAATCCCTGGCCTGCTGCAGTTGAAAAAAATAGATTACAGACAATTACATGGAATATCAAACGAGGGATTACCTACTTTTAATCAAAGCTTCCTTGTGGGAATGAACTCTGTTCTTCCAAAGAATCTGAAAACCGGCCTAGGATTTTTCACTACCACGAGTCCATCTATCAGTCAGCTGTCAGATTGCAAATGGCAGCACTCCATAACTTTCTTCGTGAATGCCAATGGCTGAGGAGGAATTTAGATGCTTCACTAGGTCAAAAATGGAATCCTCCAGGAAAGCCACCACCGGGAAACCCTCCTTCAAAGTGAAATGTGAATTGCTGTCCCCCACCACCAAAAGGGTTAAATCCACCACCCCCTGTCCCCATACCCATGTCTTCGATGTCTTCCCCTCTGTCGTATCTTGTGCGTTTCTCTTCATCTCCAAGAACCTGTAAAGAACAGCAATGCATGAGATTCGGCTATCAGATTCTAGATACCATGGGGTCATTAAGGCACAATTTTTTTGGCACACTAGCATATAATTCTAAATACAAGCGACATTGGTGGATTGACACAATCATGATCACCTAATAATTTAAGTAAACAAAGAAAACATATTCACAGCTTAGAAGCCAAAAAGCATTGAGGGGAAAATTTAGATTTTACTGAACCAAAGCTCATATGCAGCAGCTATTTCTTGGAATTTGGTCTCTGCTTCTTCTCTATTGTCAACATTCTTGTCTGGGTGCCACGGCAAAGCCAGCTTTTTGTAAGCCCGTTTGATCTCTGATATAGATGCAGTCTTTGAAATTCCCAAAATCTTGTACCAGTCCTTTTGTTGGCTTAACTTCAACGATCTCTCTGCTCTCATCAGCGCTTCACGAATATGAGTATCCTGTAGTATTAGCATATCAAATATTGTTACCTATATAAAATTTTAGATATATGGATTTAGAAGAAGAAGGAAAAAAAAACGTTCAGACAACGAGAACTTGAGCCTAAAACCAATTAAAATCTACACAGGCCCAAAATGTTAAACTCAACTCAACAAGCCTTGTCCTTGTTAATATAATATTGCCAATTGTATAGCTTTCTCTTTTCTCTTTTTGCTTTCGGTGGTAATGCCCATCATTTGGAATCCAATGTATATTGCTTCTCTCTATAAAGAGAGAGTTGATTTCTCTTGTAATTACATCACATACAATACAGAATATCAATATATCAATCAATCAATACATAATTCATTCTCTCTATTTCTCTATACATCAATTTATCTTACAGTCCTAATTACACCAGGTTGGCTACATAGATGCATTTCCTCCAATCAGCTCCATTGGCAGACATATTCTCAATTAAGTTTAAGAGAGCTTATAATATAATTGGGAAATTTTTTAAGACAAACCTGAGGTGATTTTTCAACTGCAGACTTTAGATCTGCTACAGCTCCCCCCCAATCTTCTATCAAAAGTCTCACTTCACCCCTCTGAAAAACATTATCCCTAGTTAAGTAATCTTTAATTAAACAATTCAGGCAAATGCTTTTGGAAAACTATGGGCAAAAAGAAGCAAAAGATAACCTGCAAAAGATAACCTGAACTAAAGCTTCAACAAGCTCCTCATCAATGTCAAGCACTTCTGTGCAACTACTTACACCATCCTTTCCCCTACCAAGCTTAACCAAGACCTTACACAAACCAAGATGAAGGTGAAAGTTGTGTGCCAGATGATTTGGGTCCAGTGCAAGGGCTGCTTTATAGTCTTCCACTGCAAGACGCAGCTTACCCTTATTTTCATTTTCTTCAGCCTGCATAAAAAAATCGACGTTTAAGGATAGCAAAAGGTTATAAAACAACATAAGATGACATGGAAATGGCCATTATTAAGCTCCAGAAAAGTATCGGGCTTACACTTTTAGTCTTCTTGGTTAAATTTTTCAATCCAAAGTAGGCTTTCTTCAGTTCATGATGCTCGGGGTCCAAATGAAGACCTTTCTGGAAGTGCCTGTGGAAGACATTTAAAAATTTCCATATGAATGTAAGGATACTTTGGACAAAGTATAACAAGATCCAATGGAAGAATTTCAACAAGATTTTAGTTTGTTTATCACTTTGCTTTCTTATTTTCTTCCTTTGTTTTATTTTTTCTTATCTTGGAAGGGGGAGGGGGTGTTTAGCTCAAATTTTGGTTGCACAAACCTTGAAGCAACATCATGATCAGCTAAATAGTAGTAGGCACGACCACGTAGCAGTAATGCCTCCAGATTATTCTCATCTTCTTCAAGAATAAATCATGTCTCAGTGATGGCACCTGAATAATCTTTGGCAGTTAACAATAACTTCACCTTAAGGAGTTTGGCCTGAAAAAAAAGAAGAAGAAGAAGAAGAGCATCAAATAAGCTATTCTATGCATTGCAAACTTGCAATAGCTAATATTCATGAAAATGAAGATGATCATGATGATATTCAATCCCTTGAACAGGCAGGAGAAAATAGTAGTACAATTTTGACAACATAATCCAATGATTTTGTGAAGTTGCCTGAATCATAGAGATTCATAGCTGTCTCGAGAGCACTCTGAGCCTGCAACAATTGAGAAAGTTCCTCCTCTGCTGCCGAATTTCCAGGTTTCAGCTCCAGAAATTTTTTATAGTTTTCCTCCGAATCCTCATATCTACATTAGCCAAAAATCGCCTGAATCATGTAATTTTCCAATCAGATGTTTAACGAGAGAGAGAGAGGAATTCATTACATATTTGAATGTTAACTAGAGATTCTGTGTGAAACAACAAATATTCCATCCCAGCTCCCAGCATACTTCACCAACCTTACATTCATGAGATTTATATGACAGTGCTAGTGAATGAAACAAAATGCAAAACTTGACATTAATTAAAGAAAGACAGAAGAATCCAACACATTCTAAGATTCTTAAAAATGTTAATAAATTTCATGCTTTTGCTGCATAAAAAGTGAAACAGTGTCAAAAAAAATAGTGATGAAATTTGTAAACCAGAACCTGCACAACTGACGAAGAACAGAAGCACGATGCCAATATGCTTCTGAAAGTGTTGGATCTGCCTCTATAGCAGCATTCAGATCATCAAGTGCCTCACTATAATGCTTCACCTTTATACTTTGTGAAACTCTCTCAAACAACTCAGCAGTATCACCAGGCTTTCCATCTGCAAATCCAAGATGAAATATTGTACATCATAATTAAGTTCCAATGTAACTTCTAAAGAGAAACAAACCAGTAGGAAATATTTTCATCTTATGAATATCGCAATTTTAATGCATCATATTTCAGATTAAAACTAAAAAACTTATTTTATATAAAGAATAAGTTAAAAAATGTCTAGGTGGTTCCATAACTTGGCTCTCAAATGAATGAAAGATTGAACACATAATCAGTGCTACCTAAAATTTCAATTTAATGCAATTTGCAAGTTGAACATCACGGGAGAAAGTCGTATCATCTTCAATGGGAAAAACTAAACAGTATATGTACACAAATCTATTCAATTCACCAACATAATTGCCAAATTTCAACTTTAAATTTTCTAGTTGAGAAGACTATCACCAAGTACAAAAGACTATTAAAACAAGCATCACATACTGCACCACAAAAATAAATAAATAAAACAAAACAAAGAAATGAACATATAGGTGGGTTTGCATGGTTAGAAGGGGATGGAATGGGTTTGTTTTGACTACCAAGAAAAAAACCATTACTTGCGTGTTTACAGATTATTAACAGACAGTTAATCAAACACTACTAAATAAATTTAACTTGAAAATGTAAATTACAGAAAGACAAAAATAAGCTTGCTATTGAAAATAACAATTAACACAGTAGCCCATACCACATTCCATATATGTTTGCAGACATTTTACCACAAACACCTGATAGCTTAAAATTAAACCTTTCACAAGGAAAAAGGAGACATTGGGATAATTTATCATTGTAGAGTGAATTCAAATGCATAGGAGTCTAAAAAATATTTAGGGCATAAAAGTAACCAAATATTACCCACCATCTTTCCTGACACTTATACAACTTTTGCACCATTGATGTTTAGGCTCTGTTTGTTTCGACGTAAAATATTTTTCTTGTAAATTGATTTTACAAACAAAAAAATTTGTTTTTGTTTTTCGGCGTTTGGTTGACACTTGAAACAAAAGCATTTTATTGCCTAAAAGAGAAATTTTGATTCAATAAAGTGTCATTTATAACTTTTTAGCGAGTTAAGATACTTATTTGAAAAGACTAAATGCGTTGGAAAGGTAGTGAGTGAGAGTCAACTTTGTAAAAATTGACTAGCGAAATTTTTAAAAATGATGCAAAAATATTTTTCTTAAAAAATGTTTTACTTACTTTTTGTTCAACCAAACAACGGAAAATGAGTAAAATATTTTTGACAAAAACATTTTACTTCAAAACAAACGGAGCCTTAATCACAAAGCATTCCTTGCCATTCTTTTTTTTTTTCCTTTGTTATTTTTTCCATTTGCATTGAAACCCATAATTTATAGAATCAAAACTGGCCATGCCTCACGAAAAGCACTACAAAGAGCATGTGAATTTTCTTGGGAAAATTGCAATTACATGGGACAGCGAAAAAATAATCACACTGAAAATAAATTTTTTTTTTTGCTGCAACTACACACGAAATAGTTGCACCATGAACACAAAAAATCTTGCACCACCATAAAAATGAAATTATTTTCTGACTGTTGCACTGAAATGCAACTTTCCCAATTTTCTTCCCGTGCACATT